CGCCCCCTCCGACGCCGCCCCCGCCGACGCGCCGGCCGAATGCGACGGCTGCTGCTGCACGTATGGCGGAGGGGCTCCTGCAGCACACACCACATTGTTTAGCTTCCGGGCGCAGCCGTTAGCCCATTAGTGTAGTGCATGTTGTATGCCGAGAGGAACGGGGAGGTCCTGGCGATCCAATCCCGACAGTGGCAGGATCTGCGACACTAACCAGATGACTATGTCGAGTTCTGTCGCTCCCTCGAAGAGAATTACAGCGGCCGACAGCTCTGATCGGAAGTTTTCCGTGGTTTCTCCGATCAATCACAAACAACACCGGAACAGTACCCTAACAAACATTTTCCCTTCCCATTCCTGGTTCTATCCTCATCTCTTACACACACATTTACATGCACTACATTACCACTCATTTCAGGAGACCGGTCAGGAGCTTAGCTGTCCTGATTGGAGCGGTGCCCTGCTGGTGGGGGATACCTGGTGGAGGAAAACCCCGCTAGCTGACGGTAGGTCAGCTCGCCATCTCTCCATCCAACGTAGAAAGATCACCGCTACCTCCCGAGCAAAAGCATGCATTACACTTACTGGACTAATCACCTAGGCAGTCGATGACTCGCCAGAAATCACTAATAATTAATCAATCAACCGAGGGTTTTGTCGAAACTCCTCTCCCGCTAGAATGTGAGATTCGGCGCCGACCTACTGTAGACGTCGGCTTGAGGCGCCTCTACCACACCTGCTCTATTTTCCCGACCGATGTGGTAGTGCAGGGCAAGTGCATGTGCATGTGCATGTGCATGTCTGTATGAGAAGATAATAAGACAAAGAAACGGTAGGAAAGACCGCGCGCGGTCCATAGCCCGTTTGTTAGGGTACTGCTTCGGCATTCGCCTTGCGTTGATCGTAGAAACCACGGAAAACTACCGATCACAGCTGCCGGCCACTAGAATTCTCCTCCAGACAGCGACTGAATTCGACCTGGCTGACAAACTAGTGTCGATAATCTTGCCACTATTGGGATTCGCACCTAGGACCTCCCGGTCAGACGCACTGCAGTGACATCTGTTGATGCACTGAGCCACATCTCCTGGTGCATATGTACGTATTCATACGTAAAGAATTAAGGTGTAAACAAGTAAGGCTTGAGGTGTAAACAAGTAAGCCTTAAGGTGTAAAGAAGTAAGGCTTGAGGTGTAAAGAAGTAAGGCTTAAGGTGTAAACAAGTAAGGCTTAAGGTTTAAACAAGTAAGCCTTAAGGTGTAAAGAAGTAAGCCTTAAGGTGTAAAGAAGTAAGCCTTAAGGTGTAAAGAAGTAAGGCTTGAGGTGTAAACAAGTAAGGCGTAAGGTGTAAACAAGTAAGGCGTAAGGTGTAAACAAGTAAGGCGTAAGGTGTAAACAAGTAAGGCTAAAGGTGTAAACAAGTAAGGCTAAAGGTGTAAACAAGTAAGGCTTAAGGTGTTAACAAGTACCTTGGGAGGCGTCTCCACTGGCAGGAAGAGTCACTACAATGCTGAGCAGCACCGTCGCCCCAAGCGTTGCTAGGGGCGCCCACCGCCATCTCCTCTCCATCTGCAACAAGGAGGAACTCAATGAATTTGCGGAAACCAATGACTCAGTAATAGGAAAGAATAAACACACTGCAAAAATTCAAAACTACACACGAACAAGAAAAATTACGGTAATCCCTTAGAAAAATTTTCCTTGTCATCTGTACTAAATAAATCTTTACTAGTTAGTTTGGTCAAATAACACAACCAGAAGAATGTGTTTATACATCCAAATAACTTATCTTTCTTGAGACAGATGAAATATCACATACGGGGAGTTTGATATAACTGACTTATCTCTATTTTTTCAGGAAAGTACACGTAATGTAATAGATGTAAGAAAAAATAACATATTAATCACTTTTGCTAAGAAAAAAGTAGTTTCTCTTGCTTTTACAAGCTACTTCTAAGACTGAATCCTGATCCCAACTGCCATGCCCCAAATCCATTAAACAATTGTACCAAATGAGAATTTTCAATATAGTGTACGGATTTTTTCTTCATTCTTTTAGGTCCATGAAACCTGATCAGTCACTTGAAAACAACTTTGATGTGAAGATACCAGGATATAAAGCCACAATATTTTCATGGAGTTTTTAAGATTCCTTTAATTTTAATAAGGTGGGTAGAAATATTTAATAATGGAGTAATAAAATCCGCATAAAAAATCCGAAAATGCTTCGTTACGGAAGTTGGCGTAGTTTACGGATAGACGAAAAACACACCAGTTGCCGTGTTAAAAAAATACACAAGTCGTAAACAGTTATAAAATGATTATTTTGCTCTTATTACAATACCAGAGTTCCAAACTGGAACCAAAAACAATGTTTCAACTAATATAATCCAAATATGTCCCAAAAAATCAAAGCACTGTCGTCGCCACCAGTAGAATTACCAGTTCTTAGACGAAGTAAAGAAAGTCCAAATAGAATTACCAACAGCTGGTACTATCGGCGTAAGCAGAATTACAATACCAACACAAACACTTCGGAGCTCACGTGCAATACCAGACTGCTCAGATGCCTGTGGCAGGATGTCCGAGCAGGTACGTCGAAATTTTGAAACTACGCTCTTAACACAGTTCCAAGCATATTTTGTCTAATAAACTCTGGATATTCCGAATGGCTTAGCCACAATAAGCACTCGAACGTTAGTTTGAAAAAAATACATTCTACGCAAACAGTTTCATTGAAGAAACATAAACACTCCAAAACATGTTCATTTTTGAAAATTTAGAAAAGAAATGAATATATTTGTTCAGAATAAAAATAACACGGAAATAAAAAAAGCAGTCCAATTGAAGTGGGTGCTTTTTTATGTGTTATTTTTTTCTGAACACATATTCATTTCTTTTCTAAAAGAATAAATAATTAACATGTTTCTGGAGTATTTATGTTTCTCCAATGCAAATCTATCCGTAGAAAGTATATATCTTCAAACTAACTTTTGAGTTCTTATTGTGGCTAGACATTCGAAATATTCAACGAGTTTATTAGATAAAATATACTTTATTGTAATAGTTTCTTGACCTTAATAAATATATTGTATTTTTTTAAATAAGGTAAAAATAATTAAATAAAATAACATAACACGTTAATACATTCATTAAAACCAAATATGCTTAAAATTGGCTTAAGAGCTTTATTTTCGAAGTTTCGAAGTATTTCGTTTCCGGTTTTCGTCCCCAGATTTTCGTTCGCGGTTTTCGTTCGCGGTTTTCGTTCGCGGTTTTCGTTCGCGGTTTTCGTTCGCGGTTTTCGTTCGAGGTTTTCGTTCGAGGTTTTCGTTCGCGGTTTTCGTTTCTGGTTTTCGTATTCGGTTTTCGTATCCAGTTTTCGTATCCAGTTTTCGTATCCGGTTTTCGTTTCCGGTTTTCGTTTCCGGTTTCCCTTCATGTTTTCGTTTCCGGTTGTCGTTCGCGGTTTTCGTTCGCGGTTTTCGTTCACGGTTTTCGTTCGCGGTTTTCGTTCGCGGTTTTCGTTCGCGGTTTTCGTTCACGGTTTTCGTTCACGGTTTTCGTTCACGGTTTTCGTTCACGGTTTTCGTTCACGGTTTCGTTCACGGTTTTCGTTCACGGTTTTCGTTCACGCTTTTCATTCCCGGCGTTTCTGTATATATGAGCGACTAGCAGAGTCGCCTGAGGTTCGCGTTCCAGGCTGCTTCACCCGCCCTAGCGACCCGTAACACCGCGCGCTGTTCAGCAGCACGCGCGCCATCTTCAAACGCTCCCATGCATCCACAGCACCGACGATGAAGTCGAAGGACGAGCGTCTTGTCTGGTTAGTTGAGCACAGTGATGTAAAGGACGTCCCGGTGAGAGGATGGGAGCTGGAGAGGGTGAAAGACGAATATGGCCATGGTTGTCAAAAACGGAGATCCAAATGAACGAAACGGTACCAAATGAAATGCAATAATAAACAGTGAATGTTTAGCAAGAGGAAGGAAACTGAAATATCTTATCTAGTTAAGCGAAGCTAGTTAAGTGAAGTTTAGTTCATTAGAATATTTCCAATGAACTAAAAGTTTTATGTCTGTGTCGAATATTAAGAAAAACAAACTTCTATTGAACTAAAAATGCAGATGTGGCAAACACATTGACAAAGATCAGGGTGAACATTTCAGAATTACAGAACATCATTACAGAACAGAATCATCACATTACAGAACATTTCTAATGACCTAAAAGATGTATGTCTGTGTCGAATATTAAAAAAAACTAACTTCTATTGAACTGAAAATGAAGATTTGTGGCAAACACATTGACAAAGATCAGGGTGAAATACGAACTTAATAAACAATACAGATTAATTCTGGTGACTTCGTTTGAAGAAGCAAGAAAATTAAATTTATTCAAAGAATCACATTGGCTGCTTCAGCCTGGCTGTTATTATTGGATGCAAATTAAAGGTTGTTAATTGTAAACTTGTGATCACTCTAAATATCATTATTCAATACACTTTTGTTCTTACTGAATGTCATTAACATCAGTAGTTTGTAGGAATTAGTCGAAATACAAATAGCTACTTTTAGACAATTAAAACCGCTCCAAAAGAATAGAGACAATCGTTTAATCACAACAATGGGTGATAATTCAAATATAATTATAATATTTGTTTTGCTTCTGGACATAAATGTAACTTCACTATCTGTGCCTGTCTTATAGAGTTCTGTGTGTATTACAGTTATTCAATTTATCGTTCTCCATATTCTCACGGGAGGACGTCCTTCACGATTCCTTCACGAAGATGGACAATAGACAAACTCTGTTGCTGATTTGCCTTTGCAAATAGTTTTCATTACACAGGAGCAAATATTCCTTATCATTTCTTGCCAAAAATTCTCATTTCTTCTCTATTTCGAATTCAACTTGTATATGAGTTAGGGTAGGGATACCAGAATTTCAGAAAACCGGGACAGAACACACTTCTTCCCATATAACGTCACATACAGATTTTAATTGTTTTTGACGTTAAAAAAAATAAACAAAATTCTTACCACCCCTGCAGGGCCATGGTAGCATTAAACAGATGTTTCTCTCCATAAGGAAGGTAGAACATCTACATAACTGTACCCTCGATCTTTGACACCACTTGGTACTTTTTGCGAGTTCAAACTATTCAGGTCGTTTTGTAGTCTCGCGCGGCCGCGGAAGAATTAAATAGCCATTGCCATTTTGCAGCGCGTCCGATTGGCTGGCGCGCACTTTCACTCGCGCGGGCGGAGAGAGGGAGGGAGGG